GGGGGGGGGGCACGTTTATCTGAGATAATGTAAGAAACAGAGCCGAATAGAGCGCACAGATTCCTGAGAATAAAGAAGGCGACCACAGCACCAAGGGAGGGCAAGAAGTTCTTGTGCCAAACATAGTATCATAAACTAGCTATACGGACGTCACATAACCTCTCGCGTAACAGGCTTCACGATAACTCATGACTCGAAGCACATTCCAGCTGCGATGCGCCTGGCACTCATACTCATACTACTTCAGGTCTGCGGGTGCTCACATCCGAGACAAGTTTATTAGGTATAGGCTCGGGTATAGGCCTAACTACGGGGGAGGGGATGGGGCCTGGAGCCTTACGGCCCCTAAATTTGGCATCCTTTCAGCAAATGCGTTGATGACCCACTCAAAAAACGGAAATTGAGTTATTCGGTTAGTAAACCCATTTTAAGGTCCAACCTGCTCAGATTGCGGACGAAGCCTCCTAAAAATTGTATTAATTCCAATCAAAACTTCATCGCAATGGCTTTCCGCAAGGTTTCATCTATGTTTGCTCTTCTCTGTGAGTTTCTCACGACCAACCTCGTCCTTTTTTTTCCGTCCCCGAGTGCCACTCCTTACCCCCTCTCCCCCTAACCCGGCCCTGGAGACACACCGGCAGCAGTCTGCAGTGGAGTGGAGGCCGCGGGTCGGGTTATTGTGGCCGCGCTGGCTGCTCTACGCTTGTTCACGTCCCGCTGGGCGCCGGCGCGCGGAGTGGCGTGGCGTGGCGCGGCGGAAGGAGCAAAGTGCTTTGTTCCGGCTGTCGCTTGTGAGTCTCACCTAGCAAACCCTCACCTCCGCCCTCGGCGCCGCGCACGGTGGTGCACGTCAAGTTGCGTGGGACTGTAACACAGAGAGAGAGAGAAAGAGAGAGAGGGGGGGGGGCAGTCTATGTGACGTGCGGTATGTGTGGGAAAGACTGACAGACGCACAGTCAGAGAGCTGCTGTCTTAGATGCGAGGGGGGGGGGGGGCGGAAAAGTACAAAAGTGCAAAAGTTTGTGTGGGGTATCGAGGTAACACGACTCTGTAGCCGTTAGCCGAGGGTAGATTCTAGACGCACGCTATCGTGTGGCTGTGTGCGTGTGAGTGTGCGCGTGTTCGTGAAACAGGCGGTGAAAGTGGTGTAGCGGGACTTCATTTAGGGGCTAGCTCTACAAGTAAAGGCTTTTAACCGCAAGCAGGCTATGCCGGGCTCCTTCCCTTCCCATCACTCCCCACTCGCCCTGTCATCACCCTTCCCCCTGCTACCCTCTGCCGGCACCCTCCGGGTGGGCCAAGCGGGCTGGGGCGTTGCTCTCGGTACATTGCATTGCGCCTCGAAGCTGCCCCGAGCTGCCCCGTGCACCCTATAGATGACTTCTTTATCCCCTATAAAGTCTACTCTAACTTCCGAAGTGGACAAGTAGAATTAATCACTTGATCTGTGTGCCTGACCTGCAAGAGCAGATTTTCTTATACTTGTAACAAATGTGTCTGATGCTTAAACACAAAGTCTAGATGTTTCAGAAAAAAAAAACAGAACAAGAATACCACGAAATCATTCTATTTTGATTTGAATTTAATTATTCTCTTCTGCCACACCTTTCCTGTGAATTACGGAAAATACACTTTTCTACTAAAATTAAACGACGTACATAATGAGTTATTCACATTCCAACAAGATGGCCCTTGGTTAATTTAAGAATACGGGCGTGTACTTTCTTTTTTCTGCCAGGATTAAATGACAACTTAGCAAGCACTTACCGCGCACCACACCCTGACCCCCTATTCTAGGCACAGCACCGCAGATTTCCCTCCCATCTCTCTCTCTCTCTCTCTGATTCTCTCATTGCGAATGCTTCACCTTCTCTCTTGCTCTCGTCAACCCCTCTCTTGCCCTACCCCTCTCTCTCCTTCCCCACTTCATCAGTCCTCCCTACAGTCCCCCTTTTGCTCCTCCTGCCAGCCAGCCCAGCCCAGGGTCGACATAAATCTCCTCCTTACGCACTTTATCCATTTAGGCCCTTCGCACGCATTCCCCTCCCATGTTGTGCCTATTTATGTCTTTACTCGGGCCAGCACTGGCATGGCGACATGAGACGTAACGTAGTAGTGTGCCCTCATAACGGCTTCCTCTACCCATGTCTTTCTCTCTCCTCTCCCTCCCCCACCTCGTCGCCCCCTCCTCTCAACTTGCGTACGCTAACATCTTTTTAGGAAATCGCGTAAAGAATGTCGAGTAGCAAAGGGAAAAGAGAGTGAGGGATAAAATGATGGTGGGATGACGAAGAGATGTCTGCTCCCCCTCCCTCTCTTTCTCTCTCCCTTTCCTACTTTCTCAGCCATCCTATTTATCTCATTCTCTCTCCTCTTCCCCCTCTCACACTGCGTTGGGTGGAGCACTCTCGGTTGCCTGCCTACCCCAGCTCTGTGGACTGTGAGCCTTAGCCCGTGGTCAACAGCTCTGCTGGCCCGCCCAAAGCCCCCTCCCCCGTGCTCCCCTCGGCCCCCTTCCAGCACTTCCCTGCATTTCCCTCGGTCCACTGATCACAGAGCGAGATCGCATTGCGACAGTCCGGCCCGCTTTCGAGTGCTGCGCTCCCCAAATGCAGATTTGTCGTCTCTCTCTCTCTCTCTCTCTCTCTCTGTCTCTCTCTCTCTCTCTGTCTCTCTCTCTCTGTCTCTCTCACTCACTCACTCACTCACTCTCTCTCTCTCACTCACTCTCTCTATCTCTCTTTCTCGTTCTGTCTTTCTCGGACGCCCCTCCCCCCACCCTTCACCCCCCCCATGTCCCGCCTGCTCGCCCCTCTCCTTCCCCTCCGTCTGCTTAGTCACTTCTAGGGGCCGGCGGGCGCCTCTGGTTAGGTTACGACCGCGACGAGGGTGCCTGGTTGTTTGTTTGTCAAGAGAGATTTCTTTTCGCACCACCGCACGCCTCTGTTCCCCTCTGATCACCGAAGAATGCAAACTCACTTTTATGCGATACAGCCGTGATGAAAGTGCTATCGTAGTGTAGCGTATCTTTTGTCTTAAACGGGGCGAAACGAGAATGTGCCGCGTACACTCTAAATGTAAGAGGACAATTTTGTCCATAGAAATGGAACCGATTCGTGCACATCTAGGAAGGATGCAATTTTGTTCCTTAAATTGGACAAAATTGTGTAAAGCGTCACACAAGTTGTCTAGATTTAGGAGCAAAATTGCATCCTTTCTGGATGTGCACGAATCGGTTCCATTTCTGTGGACAAAGTTGTCCTTTTACAATTTAAGTGTAGCGAAGCCATTTTTAATATAAAGCACGTACAAATTCTTTTTCTGCTACACGAGGGACTGCTCCACTGACCATCCCGATCTTTGGAATCTCATTGTAGTACGTGCCTCGACACCTACCCACTCCCACACACACACAAAATCACCAGCTTTGCATTTGCGAAAGTGTCGTTCTCCAAAAGATGAAAGAGCAAACAACGAAAAGTCACGCCTTGCCTGCTGCGGCAGCGCGCGCACACACTACACCGTGTTGACGCGGAGGAGGGGAGCACCGTGTTGACGCTGGATGAGGAAATGAAGGAGGCAGAAGGGCGGAGCTCTTAAGACCATGAAGCTGCAGGGCGTGGCAGGGCAGGGCCTCTCAGGGTGGCGGTAGCCGGGATCTTCTGTCCTCACGCACCACAGGACGGAGGAACGTCGCCGTGGAGGGGAGGCGTGGCGCTGGGCGGAGGGCACGGCACCAGCGAGGAGGGCAACAAGAGGAAAAAATCGTCCAACCCCTCTCCCGTCTTCTGCTCTCCCTCTCTCGAATGCAATTGGCAATGCAAATGGGGCATTTGTTTGACAACTCGCTGAGAGGCTGCCTGACGATGTTGCCCGTCTGAAAGCAAAACCATCAGCAGGCCCTAGAAATGCGACTAGGAAAATTCCGTATATACAAGTCACAGTCGATTTTTATTTTATTTTCGCTTTTGTTTTGGCTTGCAAAGTGTGCGGAAGGAGGAAAGTTTTAGCAAGTTTGTCTTCTTCGGTTGCAGGTGGCGAGCCATGGAGCCGTGACGGCCCAGGATGACTCTGGCCATCGGGGCGGGAAAGGCCTTCCCGGAGTACCAGCAGCAGCCACCGCCGCAGCAGCCGCCCCCGCAGCCACCGCCCCAGGGGCTGGGGGGGCCTCTCGGCGGCGGGGGTCCTCTGGGTGGCGGCGGCCCGCTTGGGGGGCCACTCGGGGGCTACCTGCAGCAGGCGCCGCCCTACGAGCAGCACCGCCAGCATGCCCTGCACCACCCGCACCCCCTGCCGGCCGCGGCCGCCACACCACCACCCTCCTCGCCGTCGTCCACCACCACCGGCCCAGGGGGCCTGTCCGCGTCCAACAACTGCTGCTGCCCGACGTCCTCCTCGTCGTCCTCCTCGCCGTCCTCGGGGTCGTCGGCCTCGTCCAGCCGTCGCGGCAGCCGCAGTAGCCGTGGCGGCGCGGGGGCTGGCGACGACCCTGGCGTCGGCGGCGACGGCTCGGTGGCCTGGTACTGCTGTTGCTGCTGTTCCTCGCCGCGCGCGGCACGCAAGAGGCGGTCCCTGCTTGCCAGCGTGGGGGTGTGCGTCCTGGTGCTCGTGTACACTCTGCTGGGCGCCTTCGCCTTCATGGCGCTTGAGGGCTCCGGCTTCCGCACGGCGCCGCTGCCGCCTGTGACGCGTGCGAGCGCGCCCGCTCACGACGACCTGCGCACCAAGACGGTGGAGAAGCTGTGGAGCATCACCGAGGACCTCAACATCCTGTACAAGGACAACTGGACGCGGCTGGCCGCGCAGGAGGTGCTGCGCTTCCAGGACATGCTCGTGGAGAATATCAAGCAGAGCGGGGCCGACCTCAACGCTGGCACCGCCAAGGGGACGGTGGCGGCCGCCTCCAAGGATACTGCGGCCGCCGTGACTAAGGCCGCGACCACGGCCGCCAGCACCTACCAACCTCACCACCGCTGGACGTTTCCTTCCTCCTTTCTCTACTCGCTTACGCTCATCACGACCATAGGTGAGTGAAAACAAATGCGACAACGTATTCATTTTCAATACTGTGAAAAATGGATGTTGGAATTTAGAACACTTTTCAGTAACTTGCAATTTACAAACGAGGTTGTGAATTGAAGATTGGTACTTATCGTAAATAGGCTGTTTTTGTTCGTCGAAGAAATCCGCGAGTCTTTCTTTAATGTCATGGGAATATTGCAAATCTACAAGTTGAAATCGTAACTTTACAAAAACATGTCATCGAAATTTCCCTGTACAAGACACAAATATTGTTCACAGTGCGTGAGACTGAGACATTGACGCAACGAAACTGGAAATACTTTAATGCGGGGTACATTTCATGCTCGAAAAGCGAATGCCGTTAGTCCGCTTCCACCTCTGGGAATTTTCCATATGCATGCCTGCGCGCCAGCTATCCTCGTGACTCAGCACGTGCTTCGCGGGATGAAAGAGTCATTAGACAGGGAAAGAACGAGATCGTCTGGTCTGCTTCGCATTGCTTTGCTCTGGGGAAACGTGAGGCCAGGCTGCACGAGTCTCCGTCGGCTCGTGAATCGAGAATGCCAATCGATATGGAGCTTTGGAGCGTTTCCCGTAGACGGGCTGCCGAGTGCTGTTACTGCTGCTGACACATTTAAACATACATGGCTCGCAAAGGTTAGTCATCATGCAGGAAAACAGCACAGAGCACCGCTACCAGAGATTGATTCATTGAATCTCTCTCTCCGTGTACCCGTCGCGCCACGACCCGGGGTGGTTTACAGCGACGATCTGTATGAAAAACAACAAAACTTAGAATAAGTCAGACAATGTCAGTCAGAATGTTGTTAAATACAGCAGCTATATGCACTGTATCTGGGGGCAGATAGGCTGAGAGGGCGGAGGTCGGGAATGGAGCGAGACGTGGTGGAGACGGGAGAGAGGGAGACGAGAACGGAGACCGCCGGCCGCGTTAGACCTCCCGGGAGTCGCATTAACTTTGCAATAGCCCTCGGTACAGGCCACGCCCCGCGCGCAACCTCTCTCTCCTCCACCGCTGCTGCAGCCGCTACTGCTGCCCCAGGTTATCGCGACGGCGGTGGGGGCGTCGAAATGCGTCGTCGCACAATGCCGCCGCCGCACGCAACAGTTTGCACGACTGACGGCCCCGCCGCCGCCGCCTCGGCCGCCGCTGGAGGCCGTCTCCTCGTCTTGTTGTACGCCTCGAAGTCGTCCGCCGCCGCCGCTGATTTCACGGCTGGCGCTCTCTCCCCCTGCTCCTCCTATCCTCCTCATCCCCACTTATCCTTCTTGCGCTCTCCCCCCCCCCCCCTTTCGCTGCTCTTCGTCAGCAACGGGGCTGCTTCTGCACGGACTCCGCGCGCTAACAGCCTGCCGATAAAGGCGCAGAGGGGGAACTAGGCAGTGGTCTGGGCGAGAGAGAGGGTGGGGTAAGAGGGGGAGGGTCATTGCGAGTGCATCACAGGTTGCCGGGGGAGGGTGGTGGTCGTGGGATACGATTGTGGAGGGGGGAGGGGGTAAACGCACGACGCGGATCGTTTGGGACGACATCGTCGTTGTCAGTCCCTGCTGCAGCGGCACCTCGCAGTAAAACGCTAGGCTAGGCCACTCTCTTCATTCGAAAGGGGCCCAGGAACTGTGGTTCGCAGCTACGACGAGCAAGACCTCGTAGGCTTTTAACTGTGCAATGCATTCTTATCTTAAGATGAGATAAATTTAGAAATTTAGAATTAAAATTGAAAAGTTCTTCATTTCTGTTGGTGCTCTTTTCAAACTTGCGCAACAGCGTTGTTGAAAATTGAGTTTTTCAAAGTTTTACTGCGTTTTTTTTTACTCACCTTTCTGACGAAGAAGACCTTTCGTTGTCCAGCGCCCTTGCCAGCGGCATTCTGACTGTCCTCCAGGCGGCTGGTCTGTCCCGAGGCTGGAGGACAGACTAGAGGCCGACTCGGCCCCGAGCAGAGGCCCCGCCCGGAAGGCACCGAACTGGACTGCCTCCCTCGGACTCTGCCGCTGGGAAACCGAAACAGGGAGGAATGAAAGGACAAAATTGGATTGCTAAGGATTCTCCCAAAAAAGTGGAGGGGGAGGCGTGGGGGCGGAAAGAGTGTGAGGGAAGTGGGGAGAGAAAAGGGAGCGGTCGCTACCACGCGGCGGAGGCACGGGCGAAAAAAGCAGAGGCAAGAAGAAGAATAAGATTGCGAATCCGAACGGGACGCCCCTGATGTGCTGATGCCCAGCAGGGTGGAGGCTGGCTCGGACCTGGCGGGCCGTGGGCTCCAGGGCCGGGTGGGTGCTGCGCCCCACCCCTGGTCCTTCCCCATCACTACTACTGGCCGCAAGGAACCCGATGCCAACAAAAACGACTTTTTTTGTTGCAAAACACCGCCACGAGCATCAGTTTGCGTTAGATTCTCTTGCTGACACTGTGCCATGCTCGCGCGAGGATACGTCAGAAGCTTGCCATCCACTATCAGGTATGCAGAACGCCTTCATACGTGTACTTTTAGACCAGGGTGTTAATAATACGGTTTAAAAGAAATAATAGCGGTTTTTGTTATGTGTGTTTAACTCTAAGTTGGAGTGGATAGCGAATAACCACTATTCGAGTAATAATATTCGCAGATAAATTTGCATTTCGTAATACAAACAGTTCGTTTGTAGTACGAAGGTGCGAAATCCTTTTGTATGTCACAAAGAGCAGTTCTTCGTAAGAAACATAGTGAAGGGAAGAAGTATTCACCGATCGTCGACCGTGCACGTCTAATCTGTAATTTTCTCGAAAAAACGATCAGTAACTCAAAGCATCCGTTTGTGTCACGCAACCGAAGCTACGAGTCACTGATTCCTATCGCAATGATATTCTTGACTTGCGAAGTTTATCTCTGACGCTACATATTCCAACTATGCCCTCCCGCAGTATACGCTGCTCACATACTGCTGGAGAAGGGAGGGGGGGGGGAGTCGCTATGGGGTCAGCCCCTATATGCACTGGAAACGATGATGTGTTGCTTGGGCAGCTTCCAGAAGCCATCCCGGACCAGTGTGCGCGGACGTTCCGGATGACCAATGCAGCGTCTGTCTGCGAAGGCGTGCCTGCGGCGGCGGAAGTGCAGGTTTATGGGGGGGGGGGTCCTTAATTGGGTAGGTAGCACCAGCACCGAGCGACACAAAACTAGAGGGAGGGAGAGAGGAAGAGAGAGAGAGAGAGGGGAATATTGCAAATCTACAAGTTGAAATCGTAACTTTACAAAAACATGTCATCGAAATTTCCCTGTACAAGACACAAATATTGTTCACAGTGCGTGAGACTGAGACATTGACGCAACGAAACTGGAAATACTTTAAT